CAAAGTACTGAGCACTAAGTCTTTGTTTTAGTACTTGATAAATGGTACTTGTTATGATTATACTAATGCTTATTCAATTTTTACAATTTCTTCTGGACTTCAATGTTGCAAAGTAAATCACATTTTGATATATTAACTCTTTTTACATGATTAAAGCACGTGCTTGAGCATAAACTATTTCTCAGCAATTTATAATTATTTCTATGTCTTTTGGACTGGTAATATGAAATCAGACTTAAAATCATTTTTTAAACTCTTGTCCTATTTTAACATATATAGATTTATTTTTCTTCTTTGTATTAAAAATACATTTTACCACTGAAATTAACTTCAAGCTTCTTCTGGGTTTTCCTTTACCTCAGGTGACATTAAATGAAGACAAAACCAATTCCAAAATAAAGTATTTAGTCTTTGTGTGTACTCCAAGTGATTAAAAACATCATAAATGTGAGGCAAAAAGGAAAAAAGATAAAACAAACTGGTGAAAAAGTATTAAAACATATCAAACTGAAGTCAAAATGCCAGATTTTAAAGTCATTTCAAACTGTTATGCATCCAATATTATATTTTCAAAGTATATAAAATACAGATAAAACACAGAATAAAAGTATATTGTCAAAACTGCAATTCTATTGGGGAATCACAATTCTCACTGTGATTGATATAAAACTTAGATATATTTAGTGAAGACATAATAAATAACCACTATAGTTCTACAATTAAAAATACAGTATTTTTATCCATTCATATACTCATATCAACCTATCTCTCAAACCACAATTTCTACCGTTAAAAAAAGCTATTTAGTGGAATTATTGTGTTGAAAAGAAGACAGAGTTGAGATTTAAGGGTGAAGATGATGACCTTGGTTGAAAATCTAAAAAGTTTGAGAGAAAAAGTAAACAACAAGAAGGGATATAATTAATACCTAAAACCACATTTTAAAAAATTAGAAATCCGGTCTTTGTCTCACCAAATTTCTAAAATCAGAGTTAATAGAAACTATTTCAAACACATTTTTGTAAGTGGATGAGATATTTTGGGTGGGGGAGGGGGTGGGGGAGTGAGACTTTTGACTAAGGAAAACCATAAGATTTTTAATTCAGGTTTTCATATGTGAGACCCATTCTAAGCAGTTACAGTTTATGTAAAATAAAGTTACAATAAAAATTGCTGTATGAAACATTAGGCTGAAAGATCATAGATTGAACTCAATATAGCCCCACATTTTGATCAGCAGGATTGTGCCTTGATCTGGAAAAATAAAACATATTCTTATTTTATGTATTAACATCTCTGGAAAGGGCTCATCCGTGAGATTGTGCAAACCTTGTCTCAGACCAAAATTCAAAATGAGCTAAACTGTATTTCACATAAAAATAGTCTCAGATTTTGCATAATTTTGTAGGCAAAAGCTTTTTGATATTAGAACCATTTCGATCATTAGGATATGTATTAGTTTTGAAGTGAATTCTTATTCTAGGCTAACAAGAAGATGTTTATAAACAGATAAAATCTCATCACTCATGTAGATATTAAGAGAGAAATAATTATTCATGTATTCATAAAATTAAATTCACAAAGGATGTTATCAAGACACACAATCAAAATAATTAAGGTACGATCTGTGGATTAAGACTTGGCATACAAAATGATTTAAGATACAAAATGAATGATGACCAGAAAGGAAACGTACAAAATAAATGTAGCAACATATGAGTAAATAATTTGCATGGATAGAAATATCACACAACGGTCTATAGTATCATTACTCTGTCAAAACTATTTTAGTGTGTTTCTCATAAAGTTAAAGTTTCAATGAATAAAGAAAAGTACATTTTAGTGAAAGGTAAGTCTTAGTTCTGGTGATGAGAAATTTTAATCTCTTTATATGGGTTAGAGAAAATAATATACTTATCACATAATTGGTGATATAATTTATGACTGTCACATATAGTAGCATAATTCTCTAGTGTTATTATTCAATACTGACTATTCTTTAAGGACTGTATTGTCATCTTCTATTTTATTAGTATCTGATCACACAGATAATTTACATAAAGTTAAGAGTAAGAATCAATTTTAAAACTTACCAAATGCATATGAAAAATGTGTGAATATAATTTGAGACAAAATAAACTAAAAATTTAAAGGTACTATGCAGAGATTTAGAATACAGTATCCTTCAGATGTCTCCCCTCCCCTTATAAAGTAGAAAAAAAATGCTTAAAGGAAAAAAGAGATTTACTTGTTCTTGCCACATTAATGATATGAATATAGGGATTTTAATTTGATTATATTAGTTTTAAATTAAACAAAACACACGTAGATACTTAAACGTAAATAAAGAATATTTTAAATTTATCAAATGAGTAAATACTAAGACGCCCACTTCTATATGTAGTCTTAAAAAATAGCTACCTTCTTTAAAACCAACTGCATTAGAGCAGACTCGTATTAGATATAGTTACAATTTGGTAAACTTTATGTATTTCACAGTGTACCAAATTTTTTTCAGTAATTAGTACGATACAAAATACTTTCACTCTCAAGAAGTATCTAAATCAAAATGACTTAAGCATTAAAGAAATTTGTTATGTTAAACAGCAGCAATTTGGAAGGAGGCAGTTCAGTAGCTCTTGGCTTATTTTAATCTTTTTATGCTAAGATTATGGGAGCATTGGTTAGTCTCTCATGGTCACAAGGTGGTTGTAGCAGCATCAGGCATCACATCACACACCAATAACCAACAGTAAGAACTGTCACTTCCTTGCATTTCTTGAATTAGGAGCTAAATGCCTATGCCAAGAAGACTTCTGACCACTGCACACTTGCCCCCATTTCTCACTGCCCAACATTCAGTCACATGTCAATCACTGGAATTCATTCATGTGCCAATCATGACGATAACACTACAGGATCTTTGTGGAATTGCCACAGTTTGCCTTTCCCACAAGATTTACCAAAGTCCCAGATGGTAGGTTTGAATGCTGGACCAAATTAAGGCTGTGAACATAAGAGGAAACCAGGGTTACTTTGAACGCTATCAGCAGTAGAACACATGACATTTCAATAAAAATTAAAGAAATAAGGAAGAGTAGGAAAAGATTCTAACAAAAGGCAACTTTATTTACAGGTTTTGCTTCAGCCTCAAATAAATAGACCACAATATAAACAAAAGGTATGTAGTAGTCAGAATTGTGCATCCACAAGATTTAATTCTGGATGAATCATTTCCCTTTCCACCCTCTAGTCAATAATCTACAGACCCAGGTTCTAAACCTCTGCTCTGGCTTCAACAACGTAATTGCTGGTCTTTTCCCACCTAATACAAAAGAGCACTTGCTAATGGTGTTCAAGATGGAAACGCAAATCAAATCATCACATTTTTACACACATTTTGACACATCCTGACTTTCAGAAAAAGGAATTAAGCTACCATCTGGGATTTTGGAGCTTGAGCATATATTCTCTATTTTTCCAGTAAGATCACTAGATATATGAGTGACCTGACCATGAAAGCAATATTGGCCAATATTGGCCAATTCTAATATTTTTAAAAATGTGTTAGGTGTTTTCCAAGAAAAAAATTCTAAGAAAGCATTTTTCCTAAATTAAAATTGTAGCTGTCCGTTTACATTCTGTTAAGAATCCTATATCCTGTCAAAATGACTCAATTTCCTGATAGAACTAGAGTCCTCACACTACAGGAATATATAGATATAGATCTTAGGGTCTTCAATCTCTTGGTATTCTCCGCATTGAGGAAGACAAGTAACAATCATGATTGTCAGTTGAAATTTGGAAAATAGTTTTGGGTGAAGGGGCAAATACAGACAAGCTGTCTTCACAGATTTCTGGATCTATAATACACGGTAGTTATGTGGTTTAAAACACTAAGTCTAGAATTTAATTTAAATTATCAGTAGTGGGTAGTTGTCTAAGGTGTCTAGCAGAAGAACAGCCAAACCTCGTCTAGGAAGGCAAAACATCTTCCATTATTTTGTTGTAGGGCAAGAGGGATGAAGAATAAGAGAGAGAGCAGACAACATTAAATTAAGTGCCAAATATTGTGGGTTTAAATCATGGTTAGAGGGAATATTTGGAAATCATCATTCACAAATGGAGATGATTGGAAACAGATGGGCAAGACACTACTAAATTTTTTAATCAATTTTATTTTAGCCTTATTTTGGATTTATAGAAAAGTTGCAAGCAGAATAGAGAGAGTTCCCCTCTACCCTGTACTCACTCTTCCCTGTTGTCCATATCTCATATTAATGTGGTACATGTGTCATAGCTAATAAAATATTATTGGTATATTTTTTATCTAGAGTACTTTCTTAAGATTTTGAATTTTTAAAAAACAGTTAAGAGATTTTATTCTAGTAGCTATAATTATAGTGCTTATTTGTCTCAATGGAAACTTAAAACAAGTATATAAAACCATTGATTACTCTTCGTGCACTGAAAGCTATAAGAGGTTCCAGGGTATCACAGAAACCAGTTCTGAGGATTTCCCCAAAGCTACAGTTGAACAGCTCCAGCTCCTTCATGTTTATAAAAGTACAGAAGAAAAAAGTAGAGGTCGTCCTTTCGATGGCATATCTGACCCCCGAGGCTGAAAGAATAAAAGCACATATAGATGGGGGCTGAGGGGCTGAGGCTCCAGGATGCAGGCAGCCCCAGGGAGGCTGGGGGCAGTGAAAGATCAGGGATCTGGGAGCAGTGGCCGCAGCCCCCAGCCCATCTCCCAGGCGGCTATGTGAGCACAAGTATAAGCACAAGCTAGGGGATGAGGGATGACGGAAAACACAACGAATCTCAGGGACCCTATTGTGAGCACACAGAACGGACCCCAGAGGAGGAGCACCAGGCTGGTCCCACACAGCGACTCCTGGAGATCCTCGCGTGCTTAACATCCCTTCCCAGTCCCCAACAGTGGGTTGATTCTCTTTTTACAATTAAAAAACAAAAACAAAAAACTGAGTAATATTACATAGGAGTGCCAGAAACTGCCTAGTTGGCAACAATAACTATTTGCATTCAATAAAACCCGGCTGCAGGCTGCACTTGCACATCTACAGCGGGGTGCGGGGCACTGACCCACCATGGAGGCAGCTTCCGGCGCTCGCGCCACTGCAGAGGAAAGCAGGGTGGAAGGAAGTAAATCAGCGAAAGGGAAAGGGAGGAGCACAGCTCACTTCCGGTTCCGGAGAGGATTGGAGAGCCAGTCAGGTCCCTAACAGAGCCCGTGGGCGTTGCTGGCACAGGTGGCCAGCTGGTAGCCGTTCATGCAATGCTGCTGAGTGCACACCAGCTTGTCTGTCGTCTGTGCCAGGTTCACGGCATTGGGGAGGCCTTGCTTGTTCTCAGAGACCGGCAGGAAGGCATCCCTGAGCTCGCCCTTCACCAGCATCCTCATGAGTAACTCACGGGCCGGGTTAACAAGGCTTCTGTCGTTGCTGTTGACCACCAAAGACGAGACCATGTGTGCCCTGGAAGGAGTGGCACCACAGAGGCTGGCTCCGTGAGGCTGATGTTCTTCTACTCCATGGTTTCCACACTGAAGCCTGCAGTGGGGATGGTGGTCAGGATCCCACCCAGCTTCAGGGTGCATAGCATGGTGGGCTTCCTCACAGCATCCAGGCCCACCATGAGAACGCGCATTTCTTTTTTGCCACAAAGGTTCTTGAAGAGGTTCGTGAAGATCTTCCCCTTTCTGTAGACGGGTGGGAGTGACCCTGGACTCAGAAAAGCCCTCAGCGGCCCTGGTGAGGCTGCTGCTCCGAGCTAGACGTTGGTTTGGCTCCCACTACTTTACAGTTTTTAATCTCATGTTCTTTCTCTTCTAGTACCCCATCAAGTTTATCCTAGTACGTTTAATCATAGTATCACTATAGGTTCCTCCAGAGGGTGGCCACTTTCTCAGTCCTTCCTTGTTTGTGATAACCCTGACCGTTTTGAAGAGCAAATATTTGGCCAGATATTTGGTAAACTCTTCAGTTTAGTTTTGTCTGACGTGTTTCTCCTGCTCAGACTGGGGTTATGGGTTTGTGGGTTAAAGATTACAGAGGTAAAGTGCTGTTTTCTTCATGTCACATGAAGAGTACAGATGGTCAGCGTAATTTTTCACTGATGATGATGTCTTTCATCACCTGACTAAAGGAGTGTTTAAATATCAGCTTTCTCCAGCGTCCTTACTTTTTCTAGTCTCAACTTTCTTACCCTCTAGAAATAAGTTGCTCTGCCCAGCACACACTTAAGAGGTGGGGACTTCCAGTTGTCCAAGTACTTGTATTGGCAAAGAAATGGAGAGCTTGATATCCAGAGGCATCTATAACTAATAAACAACCTCCAATAGACCAAACCTGTTCTAACCTCCCAGGAGAATATTCTCCAATTTCCTTTTAAATGTGACCTGGGGCATATCTACACAAGGGAAAATTCCCCAGAGGCAGAGCCAGAATGCATATTAGACAATAAATAACAGAGTTGTTTCCAAAGTGCTGTGTCCTACCCAGTGACATTTGATAAATGCTTTGGCTAAGTCCAAGTATGCTTTTTTGTCTTCCTTTTTCCAAATGAATTTTTATTACAGTGTTCCTATTCTTAATCCGTATTTCAGCATGAGTTGTATAAACATAATACTTGTCTCTTAGTTGTCTAAACCAAATGTCCACATTGGAACTTGCTGAACATTCTTCAGTCTTCATGGTCCTCTAGTTACTATGCTAATTTAAGATTTTCTTGCTGAATAAAAGGAGTCTGTATCAGGAATAAGAAATGAGTGTGTGGATATTTGGATAGCCACAGAAATAAATTAACACCAACAAAAAAGTCCCTTTATATCTTTTCATTGTAACAAATCTTGATTTTTTAATTTTATACTGAGTATATCATTATCCACACACAAAAAAGGATAACATTTCCTTCACTCCCTAGCGTGTAGGTATGGTGAGAAGACTAAATTTTCTCCAATAAGATGGAAGTTAAAAGATATTTTTATATCTATTCAATTTCAGGGTTTTCTCATTAAATAAATAGGATTTGTCCCTTGACTTTGACTTCTTTGCCTTTTTTCTATACAGAATAGTGTTTTATAGTGGGGCACCTGGGTGGCTGACTTAGGTTCAAGTCATGAACTAACAGTTTGTGAGTTCAAGCCCTGTGTCAGGCTCTGTGCTAAAATTTCAAAGCCTGGAACCTGCTTCAGATTCTGTCTCCCTCTCACTTGGCTCCTCCCCTATTCATGTTCTGTCTCTCCCTCTCTCTCTCTCAAAAATAAATAAACATTACTTTTTTTAAAAAAAAAAAAAAAAAGGATGTACTGCAGAAGTGTTTTAGCTTATGTGAGTGACGGCAACATCTGTGGAAGGGTGCTCCAAAAAAAAAAAAAAAAAAAAAAAAGAATTTAGAGCCCTTGACAATACTATAGAATAAGTCCTCCACTGAATGGAGGTTTTTTCCAATGTTTTTTATTTTTTTCTGAGAGAGAGAGAGAGAGAGAGAGAGAGAGTGCAGGGGAGGGTCAGAGAGAGAGGAAGACAGAATCCAAAACAGTCTTCAGGCTCTGAGCTGGCTGTCAGCACAGAGCCCAACACGGGGCTTGAATCCATGAACCCTGAGATCATGACTTGAGCCGAAGCCGGACATCTAACTGACTGAACCACCCAGGTGCCCCATGAATGGAGTTTTTAAGTGAGAAAAATAAACATTTGTCTTTTATAAGCAACAGATTTTTTGCAACACTGTCTCATATAAACAAAGTTTACATTAATTAATACAATTGACAATTGCTTCAAAAGTGCATATGACTGGGTGCCTGGGTGGCTCACTCAGTTAAGTGTCTGACTCTTGGTTTTGGCTCCAGTCATGATCTCATGGTTTTGTGGGTTTGAGCCCCATATCAGGCTCTGCACTGGCAGTTCTGAGCCTGCTTGGGATTCTGTCTCTCACCTTCTCACTCTGCCCCCTCCCTGGCCTATGCTATCTCTGTTTGTCTCAAAATAAAAAACAATTAAACTTTACAAAGTGTATATGGCTGTTTGAAAGCAAAAAAAGGAAAACAAAACTGTAAAAAAAGTATGTAATGAATTTATTTAGACATTAATAAGTAATACATAAGTATTAAGGGAGTATTTTTTTCTGAAATATAACTAAATTAACATGGAGCTCAAAAACAGACCCATACAAATTTAAAACTACACATGAGATAAAGTCACATTAGTGGAAAAGGGATAAACTCTTCAGTTACTGGCAGTGGAAATGATTATAAATGTGGAAAATATTATATTTGGCTTATATGTACATCAATTCCATATGAAAACTAACCTAAATATGAAAGACAGTAACTCAAAGCTTTTAAAAAAGATATAAGTGATTAATGTCACACCTTCCCATTTTAAAATATATTTAAACAAGACAAAAAAAATGAAATAGTATTTGAAAGACTGGTAATTTGGGGCACCTGTTTGCCTCAGTCAGTTAAGCATTGGACTTTGGCTCAGGTCATGATCTCACAGTTAGTGGGTTTGGACCCACAGAGCCAGCTTCAGATCCTCTGTACCCCTTTCTTTCTGCCCTTTCCCTGCTTTCACATGGGCTCTCTCTCTCTCTCTCTCTCTCTCTCTCATTTAAAAAAATTGATACTTGGAATGTATAATTAACATTTCTGTTAAAGTGCCTCATGTTAAGATTACAAATACATCCACAAACATACATTTGTTGAAAACTGAGAAAAAAACAAACCTAGAATATAAAATATATGAACAAACTCAGGCACAGATAACCCCCTGAAAACAGCGGTGAGACATCAACAGACTTTTCACAGAAGAAAACATGCTTAACCTCAATAGTAAGCAGGGAAACAGGTAAAACCACAACAAGAAATATTTTATATCTAACACAAATTAAATGCCCTATAATGCCAAATGTTGGCAGGGATTTAGTAAAATGCAAACCCTCTCACTACCTGTGTAAGTGTAAATTTGGAAACAAAAATGACAAGGGAAAGAAAGAAACTCTTTAGAAAGCAGTTTGGCAACAACCTAGAGCGTGAAAGGTGTGCATTTCAAGACCCACAAATTCTGCTCTTGTTGGATATACCGATACAGGTATAAATATAGATATCGGCATGTTCAGATAGATCTATCATATCTATCATCTGTCCACCTACAGCATACACTAGAAACTTGTGAACAAATGCAAAAGACATCTATTTTCCTTCTTTCTTCCCTCTTTCTGCCTCCTTCCCTCTCTTTCTCTCTTTCTTCTATCTACCTACCCATCCATCATTTTTATTTAACTAACACATGCTTATAGAATACTCATCTGCAAGTATTGTTAGAAGTATAAAGCATAATATTTAGGATGTACAAATACTACATTCAATCATCACAGCTTAATGATTTAGGTACAGTTTTTATCCCCACTTTTCAAATGAAGAAAATAAATCAAATAAATTGGGATATCATCCCATCAAAAATATTGATGGCAACTCTTGAAGGAAATATATTTTTTTAATTTGCTTCCAATTTTCTAAAGGCTACTATGTGTTACATACATAGAAACAAGGTTTCCTTTGTTTCAAATCCTTCATTTACCATCTATAATGTTCTTACCCTATTCTTAATTTGTCATACAATTTAGATTTCATCTTTAAAATCTCTTACTTAAACTTTCTTTCTTGGAATCCCAATGCACATGCACAGCAAGTTGTTTCAGTTTCTGTGCTTTCCTGTCATAGAACTTCTAACAGTGATAATGTATTATACCCAAATAGAATAGAAATATAGTAATTTGTTTTTGTCTTTATTTTGTGTGTATTAAGTACAAGTATAATATAAAGTGTGATATGCATATATTATAATATGTAATTGCATTTATATGAAATATATAATAATGTACTATATAATCATAAGATAATGTAAATAAAGCATGTATTACATGTGGTTAATGTCTATCTGACACCAGCCTGTAAACTCCGTAACAGCAGGTAATATTGTATTAAATGTGACTCTCTTCCTATAGGCTAGCATAATGTCTATATAGTAGAGATACTCACTTCTCATGGTGTTGCTAACCACTACAGTTACCTTCTGGGATTGCACGCTCTTCACTGCTCTTCTGGAACCACCCAGTGACATACCAGATGTGGTGATTGCAGTTGCCTCATCAAAGAGAACTATTTCATCACTAAGATTGTTTGGAATTGTTGACACGTGATGACAACATAAAGTAGAATACCTCTTGGCCTGTTTTATTATCATTTATAAATTATCTGCAATGCAAAGCCCCACTGATTGCACTCAGGGCAAAATATCGCCATTCCTTTCCCATTTTACTCTACCACCCTTCCATCAATCATGTTGATGATTGCACGTTGGAAAATCAATACATGTTTATAGAATATGCTTTTTATGTGGAATTTCAATATTAGAACTGAGGATACCTTCTTAAGTGTCTCACACTACACGATAAAAGCTTTGGTAGGGGTGCCTAGAGGATGATCATGTTAGAAACTAAATTCTCATTCTTGTGACAAGTTTCTGCCAACAATGAATCAACAGTGAACACAGAAGTAGAGAGGAATGTAAAACTTCTTCCAACTATTCCTGGAAGTGGGATGTTTTAATATAATTGAGTTCCTTGGAAGTCCCCAATATCTTCATTCAAATCATTGCTTTGATTTATATATTTTAAATTGGGTTTTGTGACATTTGCAACTCATCTTCTTTATCAATAAAAAACGTGGTTTGGTCTATAACAGAATAAATAAATCATAATGTGTTAACAATAATAACATAAAATTACACATAATAAGAAGTCAAAACATTGGCTGTTCCAGAGTTAATTTAAAGCCTCAGTAAGTCCTAAATCATCCAGGCTCTTGCTCTCCACTTTTCCGTGTGGTAGCTGTATCTTTCCCCATAGTCGAAATTCAAATGTGCATCTGAAAGGATCAGATCCAAACTTGGCAGCCTCCAAGCAGGAGAAAGATGTTTTCTTCTTTCAACACCCCCATTTATTAAAGTAAAATCTTTTTTTCCAAATCCCTCTCACTTCAGTCTTTTCACACAGCTCACTGTTGAAAATGGAGTTGCTTAGCCACTATCATCTGAAGGAAGTTTGGGAAGACACATTTCAACAGTCTTCAGTCTTCGTTGTTTTTTGCAAGAAGAAAAGAAGAGGAGAATGGCTACTAAGGAGTCAAATATCTGTCATTTATATGTTAAAATATTATGTAAGAGCCCTCTATATTTAAGATGTTGAAGGAGAGAGGTTTTACTAAGGATGATGACTCCTCATCTTCTACTGCTCCCTGAAACTTCTATCTCCCTGTAGGTGAAAGATAAAATATTTCCATTTGGTACATGAAGATTGTGACCACATTTTACAATGACCTATTTATTGAACAGTGTACCTATCAGGACTTCTGAAGGAACCAGATGGCCCAGTCCAATCAGGAGAGTTTCTGCACCTGATGAGGATGAAGCACAAATAACTGTGCAGTGACCTGGGCTTGGTAGCAATGAACAATCACCAAGACACAACCCTGGAGAAAAGAAAGAGAGCAGTAACAAGAAGTTAATGGGAAAAAATGTGCAATATAGGATCTTTTGAGAGTAGCAGTGACATTCAATTAAGATATACAGTCAGTTCAAAGCAACTCAGAGGGAGGAAACTAGGGTCATGAGTACTCTGACCCCTCTCTACCTCCTGTCAGAATGCTTCACAGACTCAGCCCAAGGACAACACCAGAGTTCAAGGAAGCTCACTGAGGTAGATAACAGGAGTCAGCCTCACGTGGAAGTGAGAAGGTAGAGAAGGCTGGAGAGTGATTTGAAGGTAGCAAAGGGAAGATACATTGCACAGCGAGAAAA